TCTCCCTTCCTCTCTCCTTCTCTCTTCCTCTCTCCTTCCTCCCTCCTCTCTCCTCACTCTTCCTCCCTCCCTTCTCCCTCTCTCTTCCTCTTGTCCCTTTGAGCTTCTCTCTCCCTTCCGTCTCTCTCTCCTCTCTCCTTCTCCTTCCTTTCTTTCTCCCTCCCTCCTTCCCCTTCTCTCTCCCTCATTTCCTCCCCTCCCTCTTCCTTCTCCCCCTCCTTCTCAAAGACGTCTTCCCGCCTGGCGTTTGACACATGTGGTTTTGATTAGGGAGAAGTTGTGAGGGCAAGAACGCCTCCCCTCACTCGTGCTACACCACCCATTTCTCCTCACATCCACACCTCAACTCCCTCCCCTCACCCCCCACCTCTCAACCCACCCCACTCCCCCTTCCACTCCTCACACCCTCCCTCCTCTCCCCTTGCATACTTAACCCCTCCCTCCCTCCTCCTCTCTCCCTTCCCTCTATCGCCTCAGTTTCTCCTTCCTTTTATTTGGCGCCCCTCCCCTTCGCCCCTAGCTGTCCCTCTCCTTTCTCCTCATACGGCATCCCCTCCTTCCTTCTTTACTTATCCCTTTTTGCTTTCCCTCCCTTGTTAACACTTCCTCTTTTCCCCGCACATAACCCGTCTTCCTTCCCTCACCTCCTTCTTTTCTCCCCTTAAATCTCAACCCCTTTTCCCCACACTCCAATTCCTCTTTCCCCCTCACACTCCACCACCTCTCCTTCCTCACACTCCAACTTCCTCTCCTTCCTCCTTATACCAACCTCCTTTCTTTCCCCTCACACCTCAACCCCTCCTTCTTTCTCCCCTCACTTTCCTCCCTCATCTTTCACCCGCTACTCATCATTCGCTCCCTCTTCTATCACTCTATTTGTCTCTGTTCCTCTCCCTTGGAACAACCATTTTCTCTTTCAAAAATCATTATTTCTCTCTCTCTCCGCCATCTCTCTCTTTCATCTCTCTCTTTCTCTCTCTTTTTCTCCACCATCTCTCTCTTTCTCTACCATCTCTCTCTTTCTCATCTCTCTCTTCTCCACCATCTCTCTCTTTCTCTCCTCATCTCTCTCTTTCTCCTCCATCTTTTCAGGTCCTGTTTTTTAAATATTTTCGTGGAACTTTATATCATAAATAATCATAATTATCTTCGTTTATAGAAATTAGTTAAAGGCCGTTATATTAGACATTTTTTCTTTTTTTTTTTTTTTTTAGGAGGGAAGGAGGTAGTGATCAGAAACTGACATATTTCGCGGTCCAAATGAATTATTAATAGAAATAACAGATGAACCGTAACCGAATAATCTTTTAATTATGTAAATTTCTTTTTCGTATCAATATGAGAATAGTTTATGCCCGGTTCTTCAACTTTAACCGTAAGCTGAAAGAATATTTTTTGACTATAAGGAATTTGAGAAAAGGGAAAGTTTGAGAGATAGAAGAAGAGAATGTGAGAAATAGATGGGGAAGAAGGGAAGGAGAGCGTAATAAAGAAGAGAGTGGAGAAAGAGAGAAAATATAGAGAAGAGGGAGGGTGTAAGGAAGAGAATGATAAATGGGAAGAGTGTCAGAGGGAGATAAAACGTGGGAAAAGAGGAATGGAAAGGATTGATTAGGAGTAAGAAAGGGAAAGAGCGGAGAAGAGGAACATACGAAAGAGGGAGATGGAAATAAAGGAAAAAGACGCAGCATCGCGACGAACCTGGGAGAAAGAGGAAACTTCAAGAAAGAGAATAAACAGGGGGGAAGCAAAACCCAAAAACAAGAGACCAAAAGCGAATGACAGCATCCAAGAGAAAGAGAATAAACGGGAGAGAAAAAAGGGAGAGCAAAATCCAAAACAAAAGCCCAAGAAGGACCCACAGAACGACAGCATCCCGGTCCCTCGCCCCCCCCCCCTTCACCCCAACCCCCCCCCCCTCCCCCCTCCCCGCCCCCCGCCCCCCCGCCCCCGGCCGAGGCGCCCCCGAGACAAAGCATATCTAGCGTGTCTCCCGCAAGTCACCGGGCGCGGAGTGTCTCCGCGAGCGTCGTCTTCGGCCGGACTCAGCTATGTCGCCGACGCTCCCTCGCGCGTCCTCATTTGCATCTCGGACATTTGCTGCAGGATGCCTGGCGTTCCTGGGACGGGCGCCTCCTCCCCTGCGCTCCTCCTCCTCCTCCTCCCTCCGCTCCTCTCCCCTTCCCCTCGCTCCTCCTCCTCCTCCTCCCTCCTCCTCCTCTCCCCTTCCTCCTTCCTCCCTCCTCCTGCCTCCCTCGCTCCTCTCCTCCCTCTCTCCTCCTCCTCCTCCTCCTCCTCGCTCCTCTCCCCTCCCCTCGCTCCTCTCCCCTCCTCCTCCTCCCCCTCGCTCCTCTTCCCTTCCCCTCCTCCTTTCCCTCGCTCCTCCTCCTCCTCCTCCTCCCCGCTCTCCCCCCTCTCGCTCCTCCCTCCCCTCGCTCGCTCCTCCTCCTCCCTTTCTTTCCCCTCCTTCCCTCTCCATCTCCTCGCTCCCCCTCCTCCCTCCTTCCCCTCTTCCCCTCCTCCCCCGCTTCCCCCTCCCCTCCCCGCCTCCGGACTGTCTACCCCCGCCCCCCCCCCCCCTCCCCCTTCCCACGTCCCAGGGTGATGGACGGGGCCCGCGCTGACCCCTCTTTGCAACATCACCCTGGATCGCCTGCAATTTCGCTCCGGATTTCGTTATTGCGCGTCGCTCGCCGGGTCAGCCGCGGACGCTTCTTATGTGATCGCTCTTTGTTTCTTTCTTTCCTTCTTTTTTTTTTTTTTTTTTGCATTTATTGGAGTTTTCTTCCTTTTTTGGATGGATTTATTGGATTTTTCCTTCTTTTTTTGGTTGATTTTATTGGAGGTTTTCATTTTTTTTTCTTTTTTTTTTTTTTTGGTTGCATTATTGGATTTTCTTTCTTTTTTTTATCTTTTTGGAGGCATATATTGGATTATTTTGATGCGGTTTTATCTCCGCCGATTCGACACCGATAATCCGTGCGGCGAGGTTGGCCGAAGATGGAGACGGAGACATCTCTATAAGGAGGGAAGGGGGAGGAGGAAGGGGGAGAGGGGAGAGACGGAGACGGAGAGGAGAGAGGGGAGAGAGTGGGGGAGAGAGGAGGGGAGAGACGGAGAGGGAGAGGGAGAGAGACGGAGAGGGAGAGGGGGGGGATGAGAAGGAAGAGAGGGAAGAAGAGAAAGAGTGGGGGAGGGAGGGGAGAGAGTGGGAAAGAGAGGAAGAGAGTGGGAGAGGAGAGGGAGGGGAGAGAGGGAGAGAGTGGGAGAGACGGACAGACAGAGACAGATACAAAGAGAGAGAGAGAGAAAGAATTGAGAAAGAAAAAGACAGAGAGAGAGAGAGAGAGAATTGAGAAAGAAAAAGAGAGAGAGAGAGAGGAATGAAAAGAAAAGACAGAGAGCGAGAGAGAGAATGATAACTTGCCATTGTTCTTCTTTACTCCGTGACACAGCAACTCGTCCGAATCGTCGCCCTCAAAGCAGAAATTCATGAAAGCGAAGCCGTTCCTCTTTCTTCCCATCCGAACACCGATCTTCAACAAGTCTTTTTTAGACGCCTTTTGGACGCATCCGAATCCCTTATCGCGTAGGAATGAATTGTATTAGATAGAGGCGTGGGTGCGCAGGGGAAGTGGAAGCTCAGGTCAGAAGATCGGATAAGGATAATGGACAAAATGGCGCAGGTTGCATCGTGTTTACCTAACGTACTGAAAGAGGGAAATGGGAGTCTGTGTGTTTATGAGTGTGTGTGTGTGTGTGTGTTTGTGATTGTGAGTGTGTGTGTGTGTTTATGTGTTTGGATATATGTGTGGTTGTGTGTGTGTGTGTGTGTGTATGGGTGTTTGTGTTTGGTTTTATCTATAGATGTGTTTATGTGTTTGAATGTTTATGTGAAAATGTGCGTAGTAAGAATGACGAAGGGCGAGAGAGAGCGACAGCGAGGAATAAGAAATGAGAAGAAAACGAAATGGGGAGGGAGGGTGATCCGCCCCTTCCCTTCCTTCCCCTTCCCTTCCCTTCCCCTTCCCCTTCCCCTCCCGTCCCCTTCACTTCCCTTCCCCTCTCCCTTCCCGCTTCCCCTTCTACTCCCCCTTCCCCTCCCCCCCTTCCCCCTTCCCTCCCCCGCCTTCCCCCCTCTCCTTCGTCCCGCCCTTCCCCTCCCCGTCCCTTCCCACCTTCCCCTCCCCCTTTCCTTCCCCTTCCCCTCCCCCCACCATCCTGCTCACTTGTCGCGTCTCGGCCTGCGGGCAAATGTAAACCGTGTATGTATTTCTGAAAATGTCATGCTTAAATTTCAGGTCCTATTGCACAGTTGTTGCATGTCTTATTTTTCCCTTTGTTTATTCCTTTCCTGTTTCTCTTTCTTCTATTTTATCCGTCGTCCCCTCTCACTCTCACTTTCACTCTCACTCTTTCTCTCTCATTTTTTCTCTCATCTCCATCTCCTTCTTTCTTTCCCCTTCACTCATTTCCCTCTCCTTCTCCCTTTCTCTCTTCATATATCCTCTTCTCCCTCTCCCCCTCACTCACTAACTACATCACTATTTCTTATTCTTCTCTCTCCCTTTGTTATTCCTTTCTTCTCTTCTTACTCTCCTTCTCCTTCCCCCTCGCTATACCCATTCCCTTTTCCTATTCATCTCTCTCTCCCTCTAGTTTACCGCTCGCCTTCGTCTTCTCTCTCTCTCTCTCTCTCTCTCTCTCTCTCTCTCTCTCTCTCTCTCTCTCTCTCTTCTCTCTCTCTCTCTCTCTCTCTCTCTCTCTCTCTCTCTCTCTCTCTCTCTCTCTCTCTCTCTCCTACCTTCCTTTTCCTTCTACTCTCCATCTCACTCTCCCTCACTCACCCCTCTCATCTCGCATTTCCTTTCCCGCTCCCTCTCCTTCTCCCTCTCCTCTCCCTCTCCTCTCCCTCTCCCTCTCCTCCCTCTCCCTCCCTCTCCCTCCCTCTCCCTCTCCCTGCCGCCTATCTCACGCCCTCTCTTCTCCGCCCCCCGCAGGCTGCAGCATCAGGAGGCGGGCGGCGGCGTCGACGGAGGCACAGGAGGATGCTGGACCGCCAGGAGGAGCGCCAGGGCCAGGAGGAGGTGGTCTGCGTCGGGTGTGGCGGCCGCATCACGGAGCGCTGGTTCTCCAAGACTCAGGAGGGCGTGTGGCACAGTGCCTGCCTTCGGTGCTCGGAGTGCCAGCAGCCCCTCGAGGAGAAATGCTTCGCTAAACACGGTCATCTCTACTGCAGGGAGGACTACTTTAGGTGAGGATCTTGGGCGTGGGGGGAGGTGGGCGGTTGTTGTGGGTGGAGGTGGGTGCTGTGGGAAGAAATGGACGGTTGTTGTAAGTGGGGTGGGCTGTGACGTAAGTGGGGGGGCGCGGTTGCATTGACGGGGGGGGGGGGTGCAAAAGGATCACCATTAATGCGATCCAGAAAGGAAGAAAGGAGAGACAGAGAGAAGACGGTGAGAGTGTAAGGAGAAGAGGAAGAACGCAAGATCGTGGAAGCTGAAAAAGAAAAAGAAAGAGGAGGAGGAGAAGGAGGAGAACAGAAGACAAGACGGAGGAAATATTTATTTTGAAATATATTATATATATATATATATATATATATATATATATATATATATATATATATATATATAAAATTGAAAAGTGAAAGAAGACGTTAGGAGATATAGAAGGGGAAAATATATATATATAATTCAGCATGAAAAGAGAAAAGAAAAAAAATGAAACAAAGAAGATGAAGAAGAAGAAGAAGCAAAAGCAGAGAAAAAAATAACAAATTCAACATCAAAAGAGAGACAAAAAAGGAAGACGAAAAAACACAAAAACCAGAAGGAAAGGGGAGCAAGGAAGCGCCGCATCCTCGCCGAAGCACCTCTTCCTCTCATGCCTCATCAGCGCTGCATCCCCCCCCCCTCACCCCTCCTCCCCTCCCACCGCAGCATCAACAGGAGGGGGGGGGTGCGAGGAGGAGGCTTGCAAAGGAGGGAGGAGGGGAGGGGGGGAGGGCGAGGAGGAGGCTTGCAGAGGAGGGGAGGAGGGGGGCGAGGAGGAGGCTTGCAGAGGAGGGAGGAGGGGAGGGGGGGATGGGGACGCCTGAGGGAGGGTGGGAGGTAGGAGGAGTAAGGAGAGGGAGGGGTGAAAGGAGGACGAGGGGAGGGAGTGAGAGGGGAACGGGGACGCCTGAGGAGGGAGGGAGGTAGGAGAGCAGGGAGGGAGGGAGGGAGGAGGAGGAGGTTGAGGGTGAAGGCGTTACGTTAATGAGGGCAAATCCCTTCCAGAAATCCTTAATCCTACTCAAAACCACGAAGCAATCCCCTTACCTCTATCCTTCCACCGCCTTGCCCAATTAAAGGAGGAGTTGGAGGGGTAGGGGGGCCGGGGGGACGGGAGGGGGGGCTGGGGGACGGGAGGGAAATGATGGGGGGGGAAAGGGGAAGGGGATGGGGGGGTGATTTAATGAGTCCTAGCGAGTCCTTCACTTATTGCCTCTTCCTCTTTTGCTATCCTTTTCTTCTTCTCTCTCTCTCTCTCTTTCTCTCTCTCTCTCTCTCTCTCTCTCTCTCTCTCTCTCTCTCTCTCTCTCTCTTCTCTCTCTTCTCTCTCTCTCTCTCTCTCTCTCTCTCTCTCTCTCTCTCTCTCTCTCTCTCTCTCTCTCTCCTCTCTTCCTCTCTCTCCTCCTCCCTCCTCCTCCTCCTCCTCCTCCTCCTCCTCCTTCCTCCTCCTCCTCCTCCTTCCCTCCCTCCTCCTCCTCCTCCTCCTCCTCCTCTCCTCCTCCTCCTCTTCTCTTCCTCCTTCTCCTCTCTTCTCCTTCTCCTTCTCCTTCTCCTTCTCCTCTTCCTCTCCTCCCCTCCCCTCCCCTCCTCCTCCTCCTCCTCCTCCTCCTTCTTCTCTTCCTCCTCCTCCTTCTTCTTCTTCTCTCCTCCTTCTCCTTCTCCTCCTCCTCCTCCTCCCCTCCTCCTCTCCTCCTCCTCCTCCTCCTCCTCCTCCTCCCTCCTCCTCCCTTCCTCCTCCCTCCTCCTCCTCCCTCCTCTCTCCTCCTCCTGGATTTATGCTTCGGGTGACGGTGCGTGAGAGAGGAGCGAAGAGGGAGGGAGAAGAGGAGGAGAAGAGAGGTTGGAGGAGGTACTGAAGTAGGAGGAAGGAGAAGGAGTAATAAAGAGTCAGAAGAGAGAAGGGAAGAGAGAAAATAGGAAATAATAAAGAAAATGTATATATAAAAGACAAAAGGATAGATAAATGTATACGTCAGTAATATGATAAGAAAACCAGAAAATAAAAGAATAGTAAAGGTACAACGCAAAAAAAAAGGAAAAGGAGAAGAAACAAACAAAAAAGTGAAACAAAGAAAGAAATCAAAAAAAAAAAGAAATAAAGCAAATTTTTCCTGTTCTATCTTTTTTTTACGACAATTAATTACGGAATGAAAAGTCAAAGAAAACAGAAAAGTCAAAGAAAACGGAAAACTCATAGAAAACGGAAAATTCAAAGAAAACGGGA